AAAAAGAGCAAAATCAGCAACTATCCGCCGAACTAGCCCAAACCCAAGAGCAAAATAATCTCCATTTAGAAGATATTCGCACTAAGGAAGGGATTATTAGCGAACAAAAGGAAGAATTAGCACAAGTTAAGGAAGCTAACCAAAACCAAACCCTTGAAATTAGCGAACTTACGGCATGAAGCGAAGGCCAACATGAGCGAATTATCGAGTTAGAAAGTAGCGAAAAAACTCTAACCCAAGAAAAACAAAACCTTATCCAGCAAGTCCAAGAAGATAGAGCAACTTATCAACGAGCAAAATCCCAACTTAAAGAAGCTCACCAAAAAGAACTAAACGAACAAAAATCTTTCTATTCTAGGAAAATAAAAGACTTAACTAGCCAACTAACCACCGAAAAGCAAACTAACACTAACCTAGAAAGCCAACTCCAAAGTCAGCAAGAACAAAACACCCTCTTAAAAGAAACTAACCAAACCCGCGAGCAAAGAATAACTCAACTAGAAACCTACTTAAACGAAAGCCAACAGGATAGCACCCAAAAGCAAACTTTAATCAACCAACTCAACCAAGATAAAATAACCCTTCAAACTAAAATCACCCACTTAACTAACCAAACTACCGAACAAACCCGTAAACTAACCGACCAACTAACCCAAATTAACACCCAACAAGCTGATTTACTCCAAAAAGAAGCCAAACTAGCTAAACATAAAAACAAAAAAGCCTTAACTAAGGAAGAAATCAAAACTTTAACCGAAAATGTCACTAATTATCAAGCCAAAGAGAGAGATTTTGAAGCAAGAATAAGAGTTTTAGAGGATAAAGAAACCAGGCAACGCGGGGCTTTAACTCAATTGCTAGCTAACCGGGAAAATGAGTTAAGAGAATTGGAGGAGAATAATGACTAAACCTGACTTGGAGACACTTAAAAAATGAAAAGCTACGGTTGATGCCTTGAGAGAGAGAGAGAGAGAGAGCAAATTCCGAGGAGGGAGAAAATGTTTAAAGACTGTGCTAATTGCGGACAACATAAGCAAATTCCCCCAACCGAGACTTTATGCTATGCTTGCCGAGAAAAGGAGGAAGGAAATAATATGACACGAATAGAAGCAATTCAAAAAGTTAAAGACCTAAGAGAACAATTAACCCAACTCCAAACCAAATTCACCACCTATCTCACCCAAAGAAAATCCACCCTCACCCAAGAAATCCAACTAATTAAGGAGGCTCTCCATGACTAACCAAAAAGCCCTCTGAAAAGCCCAAGTCCTCGAATTCTTCCACAACTACTTTATCGGTATTTCTCATTTAGAATGCTCCAATCCTACTTGCCCGCTCGTGCTTAATTGAGGAAACCTCGAAAGAAAAAACAGCAAAAAAGGCAAAGCAGGCTTTTTAAAAATAACCGCCGATAAATCCCTCACCGTGGATATCTTAACCTACGAACTAAACGGACTAGAAGAGCCCATTAATGTAAGCATCCAATACCGCGACGGCCAAGAAGCTCTTGTCCGCACCAAAAAAGAAATCGCCGAAATAACCAAAAACCTTAGCCCCAAAGAAAAAGCCGCCTTATCCTTCGTTGACCCCTCCGAAATAGTCCTCTTTTTTAACAACTCTTACCACCAACCCAACCTCGAAAATGCCGAACAAATCTACCTTAACGAACTGTGAGACATCAAAGAAAAAATAAAATGGGACCGCGAGAAAAGCAAAAAAAAGGTCTTTTTACATGTGGAAAACGACCCCTCCGAGCCAACCCAAGCCAAAGAAATAGACGCCAGTGAAAAGGACTACCTTTTCTATATTGCCGACCCCGGCACCACTAACGAAATTAAGAAGATGGAAATCTACTCGCCCAGTAAAGGCACCGAAGAAAGAACCCGTTTATTCCAGGATGCTAAGGAAGAGTTTAGCGAACTAAGGAGGATTTATGGAATAAGGCACCTCACGAGCAAAAAAGAAGATAGACAAAATAACCCCGAAATTGAACTCAACGAAGCCCAGTTTATTGCCCTAGAACGCGATAAGCAAAGAGAACGCCTAAAAAGTATTAAGGAAGTAGAAAGCAAAGGACTATGTAAAGGAACCCATAAGCTAACTTACGGAACTTGGCAAGA